TTCGTTCTTCATTTGCTATATCTTTAACATCACCATCGAAATTGGTTTCCTGACGAAATTGTTAAATAATTTATACCAATTTTGTGTTGAAAGCTCTGCATTTACCACCTTTGAGTATGAAATTACATCATTCAATTCTTGGTCTGTAGGAATATAAAACCTTTTCAAATTGCTGTTGGTACTAATTTCATCAGTTTCAAGAGAATTTGTTTTATCAAATAAATTAACAAAAACCATTTCCGCGTTTTCACTAGCAGACCAATCTGACATTGACTCAACAGCTAAGAAATTCATAATAAAAAGTAGAAAGAATAGTAGTAGTTAAAAAATAATGAATTTTTCAGTATTATTATTTATTATTCATCAATTGGCTTGAAATGAAAAAGGTAATTAATTAATAAAGGTTACATTAAAAAATCATGTCAGGTGGTACGCGTAAAACATGCAATTACTAATACTGATTTATATATGCGCAATTTTATAAACAGCTGTTTGCTTACAAGGATATCATATTACTTGGATCAATTAGAAGAAAATGATACTATGTTAATCAGCTGAATAAATCATTTAATCAATATATGATGAATTAAATGGAACCTTTACAACATTCAAGTTCTCTCCTATGACCTCAAACAGTAAGAAGTATTTAAATTATAGTTATTTACCATAATTGTCTTTGGAAGAAAAATGATTATGGCAATAATTATGGATTCTTAATATTCTTTATATAAATGAACATAAAATAACTATTATATTACATGCATTTGACTAAAAAGTTCAAATAAAAGGGTACCTGTCACAATTAAAAAACCTAGCTGCAATCATTATCAAAAATTGTAGCTGGATATTACAAAATGGGATGGAATAGAATAAAAAAAAGTGTGAATTTTGATATTTTATATTATGACATTATGAATATTTCTGATGAGCTTAGAAAATTTGCTGATGTGCCTAAAAAATAGAAAATGGTTTCCAATAATACAGTAATATATATTTATCAAGTTTGGTTTTTATATTTTGAAATCACGTTCACACATCAATTACTTGACAGACCTATTCAAAATTAAAGTATTTTTCAATCTATATTTTTGTTATGTAAATTTATTTCTTTGATTATTTAGCAAAATAACTATTTTATAATCTCAATGCGTTTTTTTTTTAAAGTTATCTTATTGCTTAATTATAATATTTAATATACAAGAAAAAATTTAATCGCAAGTTTAACAGGAACAAATAAATACATAAAAATTAAAAATTAAAAATTAATTACACATAAAACTCTTTATATAAGAAAAAAAAAAGTACGATAAAATTGATATCATACTTTTTATCCATCATTAATTATTTATTTTGCGGATAATGCATATGCTGTAATTTAGATAATTGTCATTTTTTAATAACTTGAAAAACTTCATATTCTATCACCCAGAATTTATTTAAAGTAGTGATTTTCTCTTGGTAATCATCTTTATCGGAAGAACAATTCTCGTATCCGTTGAAATTATTTTTCATCCAAAGATCTTTATCACCAAAACAAGGACCATGGGATTTATCTTTAATTCTAATAGCGTAGTTGTATCTTACAACTCTACTCACTTTACCATCAGCCAAGTTACCTTGTCTAGGAAATGAAAAGAGAAAACTATTTTGTGTTGATAATCTACCATCACCAATTGACCATTCCAATGGATTATATCCACCAATCAATTCACCAGAATATGCAATTTGCATCACAACAATTGTTGGACCTTTGTGATCACATTTTTCATGAAATATCTCACTATCAAAACTATCCCTTGATCCCCTAACCAACAAGTTGAATTTGTATGGTATTTCATCATATTTATAATTTTTACCATCTTTACGATCTATCCAATCGACCAGTCTTGAAACTTGTTCAATCTTTAAAAGAGTTGAATCAAACTTGAGGAACCTTGGTGGTAGGATTTTTGTATTGGTGATAAGATTAGATATTGAGGCGATGGAAAGATTTGATAAACTGGTACGTTTAAAATGAAATTTTAAAATATCATTATATAAAATTTTTGGTAATATTTGACTAAATGGTAAAATTTTGTCGTAAAAGTCACTTGCAGAAATGTGAAAAAATCTTATCAATGGTATACAATTATGTAAAATATTTTCCAATTCCGTAAATTCTTCTTTGCCCCAACTAGAAATCTCGATCTGTTTATCTTCCACAATTATTTTATCTTGTTCATTTACTACAGCTGCATCCTGATTTTTTCCGACATTTTCATTATAATTATTGTCATCATCAAATTTTAATGATGAGAGATTAGCAACAGATGATGGTGATGATGATGATGCCATTTGTGAAATACCCCATTTAATCAAATAATTCCAAATTTCTAATTCTGGGATTTGTAAATTATCTCTTTCCAATAAAGGAATTAATAAAGTTTCATCAAATGAATAAAATTCTTTGGAATTAAAAAGTGTAAAAGGATCGTTACATATGATTTCCAAACAAAAATTCTTTAATCTACTGCAATTTTCGTTGGAATGGACTAAACGATGAACATGAACGACATTTCTTTTTAACCAATCGCTTTTGAAGTCCAACAAATAACGTTGTACATGATCAAACAATTCATCTAATAATAATTCATCGGCTGTAATAAGTAATTCAAGTATATCCATATTATCTTGTCTATTTAAATCAACCTTTCCGCTATAAATATATCTATGAATTTTATAAAAGTTAAAATGACAATGATGATAATGATAAATCAACTAAAAAAAAGTTGAATTTTTTACCCAAGGATAAGATCAAATACAACAGGAGTGGTGTTAGGTTTAATGAAAACAATCGAGTTCCCTTCTTTTCTTGCCCATTCACTACTTAAAGCCGTATGAAAATAAGGCGATCTTGTTCTTAGAACAACAGAATGAGCATAGAAAGTCTTTTCATTATGTTCATCTCCTGCTCTAATAACAACGTTGTAATCGTCTGAATTTTCAAGAAGTCTAAGAAAATCCTTGGAAAGATTTTGAAAAAATTCAGTCATGATGATGATTATAAATTATGATTTTTACTATTATTAATTTAATTTGTCCGATCAAATAGTAAATATTGTCGTTGTTGAAGGTAGTGTTGTTTTAGTATTAGTTGAAGCAGGTGAGATTTTTTGCTGAAAAAATTTTGAACGATGGAATTAAAGTCGAATTTTCGAGGAAAATACTGTTACTATATATATAGATCAAAGATTATTTATTTTAATGCCAATTGTGCAACAATATAAATAAATCTGCAACATTACAAAAAATTGATACATTAATATTTAACTATGCAGCTTTGTACACATGTAAACTCGACAAGTCGTCATTTATTTATATTATAAAGTACTTTAAACAATCGATTGCTGCGTCCGACTACATATGTGTACAGTTGTCATCTTCTCAATATCCTTTATTAGTAACATTAGTGATGTCATGTGATCCACAGTTAATGTCAGACATTTCTTTTTATAATGAAATATTTTTATTCAAGGTTCCTTTCATCTTGAATACTATTTTAAAATTTAATTTACACGGAAAACAAGCTTTTAATAAAAAAATTGTAAATATCTAAATATCTACAAATATTGAATATGTTTCATTCTAATTTTAAAAAAAAATTTTGAATAGAACAAAAAAGTAGATTCCTCTCTAATTTTTTTATCTTTCCAGATTTCAATCGAATAAGTTTCTTCGTTTTAAACAAAATCTTTATATATTACTGAAACAAAGCCAAGCATCAACCTACTATATATGATATTTGTTTATTATAGTCAATTGCTCAACAACCTGATGATACACCAACATGATTGCATCTTCAATACCTGCAATGTATATTTTCTACAAATTGTCAAAATTATCCAACGTAATTAAAAGCATACGTGTAACATTGAATTAATGGCACGTGTAACAATAATTACGACCATAATAATTTCCGTGCAGGATAATAAATTGTTATATAGCATAATTATAATGTATTTTTTTCCAACATGTTTGATTGGAAAGCAAAGAATAATTCAATATCAGTTATAATCTTTGCTTCATGAGCCAAGAATGCTTATTGTCTTCAATTACATTGCTTAAATAAATTCACAAGAGAGATACACCCAAAACTATATAACATTAATATTGCTAGGTGAGGATATCTCGTAATGGCCAAGATCCAAATGCTCCATTATCTACTATGATTGATTTTATTTCCAAGTAATTGTATTATTTGTAATTTGTTTATTGGAAACAATAAAACATCCAAGAGGTTAATGGTGGTATCCTGAATTTCTACTTTCATTTCTGGTGGTCTTGAAAATTATGTTGACATGTCCAAGGAAATGGAATGGATATGTGGAAAATTGAAATAGTCTTAGAAAATGGTTTCAAGAATGGCCTTAAAGTTGAATCGAAGGATGTTGAGAATAAGTTTGAAAATAAATAAATTAATTGTCAAATACAACATTTAATGAATGAAATTAAAGCATTAAAAAAATTGATATTCGAAAGAAAATTAATTTATGACAGACTTTCTTTACGCGTTTTTTAATGTTGATCATTCACAAGCTTTTATCAGTCGAACAAAGTGGCCCGATTCACGTGTGTGTAACATTGAATTGTTCCTTATTTATTTGAATAATAAAAATTTTTTTAGTAAATAATTTCCTTCCCAACTTTCATT